TTGGAGTACTGCATCCAGTTCTGAGTGCTGCACTTCAGGTGGGATGTTGACAACTTGGAGAGGGTCCAGAGGAGGGTCACCTGCATGTTCAGGGGTCAGCAGGGCAGGCCCTACAAGGAGAGGTTATGGGACCTGAACCTGTTCAGCCTCCACAAGAGAAGGCTGAGGAGGTATCTAATGGCCGTTTACAAATTGGTCAGAGGGGACCAGCAGGAATTGGGAGAGTCCCTCTTCCCCTGAGCACTACCTGGAGTGACAAGAAATAAGTCACAAGCTGGCAGAGGGTAGATTCAGGCTAGACATCAGGAGGCACTACTTTACTGTCAGGGCGGCTAGGATCTGGAACCAGCTTCCAAGAGAAGTGGTGCTGGCTCCTACCCTGGGGGTCTTTAAGAGGAGGCTGGATGAACACCTTGCTGGGGTCGTTTGACCCCAGTACTCTTTCCTGCCATGGCAGGGGGTCGGACTTGATGATCTGCCCAGGTCCCTTCCGACCCTACCAACTATGAAACCTCCTCTCTCTTATCCAGGTGGTGAGTTACCTGATCATAGGAGGAGATGAGGTTGGTAAGACGAGACCTGCCTGCAACAAAGCCATGCTGGCTGTCGTTCAGAATCCTACCTTCTGAAAGCCTATTGCACATAGACTCTAATGAATTTTTCCAGGATTTTCCCTGGGATAGAAGTTAGGCTGATTGGCCTGTAGTTACCCGGATCCTCTCTCCTCCCCTTCTTGACAATGGGCACAACGTTGGTCCACTTCCAGTCCTCAGGGACGTCTCCAGAGTGCCATGAGTTTTGGAAGAGTTTCCCCAGGGGTTCCACAATGACTTCACCCAGCTCCTCCAGCACTCTCAGATTAAGTTCATTCAGTCCTGCTAACTTATATATGCCTGATTTTTTTAACTGATCACACACCAGTTCTACGGCAATAGTAGTAAGGCAGTCATTCCTACCATGCCCATTCTGTACCCTACCTGGCATGATTTTCCCCTTGGCCTGGTGAAATACTGAAGCAAAGTAGTCATTTGGGAGTTCAGTTTTCTCCTGAGTGCTGGTGACCAGCTGTCCTGAGTTGTTGAACAGTGGCCCCACGCTCCCATTTGTTTTCCTCCTGTTCTTTATGTACCTAAAGAAGGACTTCTTGTTGCCCTTGATTTCCGTTGCTAATTTAAGTTCAGATTTTGGGGGACGATACTGATAGCCAGTTTTTAAGGAGGCATATTGGCTGATACTGATCCGATTTCCGGTACAGCCATGTGCAGCTAGTAAGTCAGTTGTGGTGAAAGGGGAGTGAGGAGGGAAGGGGTGTGGTGGGGGG